ACTTTTTGGTACGACAAATGGCTAGGTTCGGTTACACTTGGCGAAAAATATCCATCCCTTTTTAGCTGGAATCTAGAAAGAAATGTACAGTGGCTGATAGGATTGTTAATAATCAGTTTGAAGCTCACTGGAAATCCGTGTGGATGAAGATAGGGAATCGCATTACATCAATAATCTCATTAATGATTTAGCAACGGTACATTTGGCACCAGGAGAAGATCATTAGACTTATACAATAGACAAAAGCATCCAATTCACAGTGAGCACGCTAAGGAGAAAACTAGAACAATTATTATTCCCCAATTGTGTCTTACCAACTTTTAAATGGAATAAGATATCCCCGATCAAAGTCAATTGTTTCATATGGCGAGCGATACAAAGGAAGATCCCATCTGCAGTGGCACTTAGATGTAAAGGAGTTAACATCGAAAATGACAAATGTGGTGCTTGTGTTAATGGAATAGAATGCTTTGACCACATCCTTACACATTGTTCATTTGCTTGCGAGGTCAGGAAGGTAATATTCACTCGGTGCGGCTTACAACAGGAGTCTTTCACATCAGGTGGAGATTTAATTGTATTTGCAGAAAACTGGGGAAGATGCCAAAGGAAGCGAATGAGAGTCATCACCATCTGTCATGGCTTAATCTGGATTCTGTGGAAATTTAGAAATGATCGGGTGTTCAATGGAATGTTCCAAAATCCCACCTTATGGTGCAGGGGTCATTAAGTCATTCATATTCTTTTGGATAAAGTGCAGGAGCAAAGGAGTTTGTGATTGGGAAAACCGGATCTCTCCTCCATTTCATTTTTAATTTCTACTTAATGTGTCTTTTTCCATGAAAAACTTTTGCTTTGTTTTTGTACTCCTGTTACCTTGCTAGTTACTTGCTAGTCGGGGTTCGTTTTTATACAATTTACCGTTTCCAATATATATATATAATATATAATATATATATTATATATATATCTATATATATATTATATATATATATATATATATATATATATAGATATATATATATAAGTTCAGGTTCATTTGAGACCATTCTAATTTGTGAGACCGTGAGACCAAATCTAAAAATAATTTTAAAATGCAAAATAAATGGAAAAATCCAAAAATTCTTTTTTTTAAAATATTATTTTCGGAACTTGAATTAACTAAAAAAAATAAAAAAATAAAAAAAAATCCCGTTTTTTTTGAAAAATACTTGAAATATTCTAATAGAATATTACACTGACATATTCTAAAAAATAATTTTAAAATGCAAAATAAATGGAAAAATCTAAAAATTCTTTTTTTAAATATTATTTTCGGAACTTGAATTAACTAAAAAAAATAAAAAAAATAAAAAAATAAAAAAAATCCCATTTTTTTTGAAAAATACGTGAAATATTCTAATAGAATATTACACTATACATATTCTAAAAAATAATTTTAAAATGCAAAATAAATGGAAAAATCCAAAAATTCTTTTTTTAAATATTATTTTCGGAACTTGAATTAACTAAAAAAAAATAAAAATAAAATAAAAAAAATAAAAAAAATAAAAAAATGCGTCTCACGGTCTCACAAAATTAGGCCGTCTCACATGAACCTAACCCTATATATATATATATATATATATATATATATATATATATATATATATATATATATATATTCACGATACATTTATTCTTTTATACACATGCATACATCGACCCAAGAAATATACATGTTGCTATCACAATTCTCATGATCCCACAATTTTTGATGAAGGAATATGGTAATAAGTGTATTGGATTTATTTTATTTAAATAAATACAATATAAGTTATATGATCTTTTTATAATTTTGCTTCCCTAAAACAGAAATATAAAAGGTTATACTTGGTGTTTATAATTTGCTTATTACAACTTATGAACCATAATACATTTTCCACCCAATAATATGAATTGTTATTTGACGACATACTTTTGTTAAATGTTATTGATATTAACTTTCTATCAAATATTGTATTATAAATGACAAAGGATAAAACATATTAAAAAAATAAAATAAATATCAATAATATGTAATTTTTTTTTTATCATTTTACACATGTAAGCATAATTTGCTAAACACTAAAAACAACTTATTATCTTATTATGTTTTGGTACCGCATAAGCTAATCTAAATTTTTTTTATAAAACTTAATTTTATCACTGGATAAATTAATAAGCACTTTTATTAATTAGAAAAAACAAAACAAAACAACACTCCCTAAATAAACTATAGCTTTTGGTTTTTTCTTGTTTTGAAAAAGTTTTAAAAAAATATGTATTGTTAAAAGATGAATAAATTGTAAAACCAATCCATGTGGTATCCTAAGAAGAATGCACTTTGATTTTTTTTTTCTCATTCGTATGGTCAATCCAATCAAACTTCCATACAAATTTGGTTCCTGTGTTATCCCACCAAAAATACATATCCCACCAAAAATACATTTGAATATGTTTAGACGACAGTTAACTCGTGATTAAATTTGCAAATCTTTTGAATACCACAAAGACCAAATATGCACAAAAGTTTCAATTTTAAATTGACTTCAAATAAAATAAAAAGGACTCAAACAATAGTTTTTAAGAGGGAAAATGACTTATCAATGTAATTAACTTTTCGGTATGTTCACATCTGGGTAACTATCTTTTTTTTGTACATATCTAGGTAACAGACTTGTTGGAAGTGTTCACATATGATCATTATGACATGCTATAGCAGGTTACATCCTAGATGTGAACACTTTTGACAAGTTCGTTACCTAGATTTGTACAAAAAAAGATAGTTACCCAAATATGAACAAAACGAAAAGTAAGAGTAAATTACACGAATGGTCCCTGTGATTTGGGGGAATTTGTGTTTTTGGTCCCTAACTTATTTTTTTAACTCGGATGGTCCCTATTGTTTATTTTTGTTGCACGTTTGGTCCCTTTCTTACCTAAAAAGACTATTGTGCCCTTATTAATTAATTTTTTTAATTAATTTTCTTATTTATGTATTTATTTTTTATATATTTAAAAAAATTAATAGACCCCACATATCTGTATCTCCTCACCGTAAACCTGAAACCACATTTGAGAAATTTAATTTGGGTCTCACCGGTCACCATCCTATCTCTCATCCTCATCAACTTCTATTTCTTTTCCATCTTTAGTGACATTGACGTATTCACCATGCTTCTTTTTTTTGTCCTTCAACTCAGGCGAACCAACACCATAACCCAATGTCTCTTTATCTTTAGTGGGTTCACTGGGTTGTGGTGTTAATTCGACGGAGTTGAAGGACCGAAAAAAGAAAGGATGGTGAAGATGTCGATATCACTAAAGATGGAAAATAAATATAAGTTTAGGAGGATGAGAGATGTGATGGTGAAGAGATACAGATATGTAGGGTCTATTAATTTTTTTAATATATAAAGAATAAATACATAAATAAGAAAATTATTTTAAAAAAATTAATTAATAAGGGCACAATAGTCTTTTTAGGTAAGACAGAGACCAAACGCATAACAAAAATAAACAATATGGATCATCCGAGTTAAAAAAAAAAATTAATTAAAAAATAAACAGTAGGGATCATCCGAAGAGATACAGATATGTGGGGTCTATTAATTTTTTAAATATATAAAAAATAAATACATAAATAAGAAAATTAATTAAAAATAAATTAATAAGGGCACAATAGTCTTTTTAGGTAAGAGATGAACCAAACGCGCAACAAAAATAAATAGTAGGGACCATCCGAGTTAAAAAAATAAGTTAGGGACCAAAAACACAAATTCCTCCAAACCACAGAGACCATTCGTATAATTTATTCTTACTTTTCGTTTTGTTTTCATATTTGGGTAACTACTTTTTTTTGTACACATCTAGGTAACGAACTTGTTGAAAGTGTTCACGTCTAGGATGTAACCTGCTACAACAAGTCATAATGGTCATATGTGAACAATTCCAACAAGTTTGTTACCTAGATGTGTAGAAAAAAAAGATAGTTACCCAGATGTGAACATACCGAAAAGTTAATTACCTTGATAAGTCATTTTCCTGTTTTTAAGATATTAGGGACCAATTTTACAATTTATTATTATTATTATTATTTTTTTTAAAGATTGAACTATAGAAATGGTGAAATGGATGAAAAATACCCGATCAGATTCCTTGTAAGAATACGATTAAAGTCTACATATCTTTTATACATAAAACTAAAAGCTATCACATATAAAGAAATAAATGTGACGTTGAATATTAAAGCTATCACATATAAAGAAATAAATGTGACTTTAAATATTATAATTTGAAAGTAATTAAATACTAAAAACTTGATCCACATTGAGTCTTGAACTCACATAAATGTGGAAATTATGATTCCACACTTTTTCCAAGATGTTGACTTCACGAGTTATTGGTTCATCAAACTTTTTCTTACATATTATCGATTCAAATCCTTCAATGATTACCATTGTAAGTTAACTGAAATTTTTTATTTATAAAATAATATCCTATATGAAACTATACTAAATTAAATGGATAATAATAAATCAGCAAGTAAGTCATCGAAGTTTGCAAAAGAATTTTATATACGACACCCAATTGTAAAAACGTCAAACTATGCTAACCAACTTTGAAATTGACCATATATATCAAAAAAGACGAAAATACCCCTTGTTTAATTTTGTTTGGTGATGTTATATCCAAGAAGAAAAATCCTAAAATGGGATCAGTTTGATAATTTATTTGATCATCAAATTATTTACGCAACACATACATTTTTATTTATAACAAAGAAGGGTACATGCATATCTCTTTGTTGATCTTAATTGTCTTGGAAACTAATAGAAAGTTATTCAATGGGAAAAAGGTAAAACACGAGGGGCTTAATTTGTCACATTTGAATAAACATAGGACTTAAATTTGAAAATTTCAGTTGAAAAATAGGCGCTTGTCCTGACGTGTAAATGATCATTCATCTTCTTCCTCTATAGTCTATTTATTCATTTCTCTGCAACTTCATTCAAAAAGAACCCAAAAAAAAGATCCGACCCGGATAACTCTCCTTCCTCCCACTTCATAGGAGCTTCCTTCAATCCACTGCACAGAGAGAGAGAGAGAGAGAGATAGTGTTATGTTCATAATCCCAACAACAATTTCAGGTTTTTCTCTCTTTATGTACATACATGTGTGTGTTTATGTGTACGTATATCTTCACAGAATGCTTTGATCGATTCAGATAATTATGTATTTTCATGTGATAAGTTGAATAGTTTACTGTTGTAGCTTTAATTCGATGTCTTTTGAGTGCCTTTTGATTTGATTCTGTGTTCATTAATCATTAATCATCATTCATCTAACCCTTTCTATTCATCCCTTTTGAATCCAGTTTATCGCTATTTTTAGACAACTTTTAAATGAAACTGAAATTGCTCATTAAAAGAAATTCATCTATATGTTTGGTTCCATTTGTTTCAAGTGTGATGATTTCAAAACCTCAGTTAAATTTTTCTATAACATTAAACGTGAAATCTTGTGAAATTTCAAAAAAAAAAAAATGCTAATGGCATCAATAGCATAAGATGTGTAATTTTGTTTCATTCTAATGACAGCAAATCCTTGTTATTATCGGAGTATACTACTAGAAATTCTCTTTCATCATATTGTCATAATAGTACGTTGATTTTTATTAAAAAAGTCTTGACTTTCTTGAATTCTACAATCCAACTGGATCTTTCTGTTTCTCAAAGGATTATCCTCAGAAATTTTTTGAATTTTACAATAATCAATTACTCTTAACTAGTGGAAGATCTGTGAATTCTCCCCCAATTTACTTGAAACTAGAAGCTTCACACTTTGTAATCAAATTCTTTTTTGTGTTATATTGTGGGATCAAATAATTATATCGTTGTTGTTTGATTAGGGAAATAAAATGGGTAATTGTGCATCAGCCCAATTTAAAATAGTTAGTTCAAAGAAACCACGACATATTCGTTCTAGAAAGATCCGGAAGCATGGAAAGCCATGGAAGAAGAAGAAAAGTGAAGCAGGAAACCTTGTTGCTGTTACTGAAATTGTTCACACAACAACCACTTCCACTATCCAAGTCACTCAAAGAGAATGGCATCAAAGTCAAATTGATTCTAATGGTGCTTCATTCTTATACTCCTTTTACTTTTTTTAATTACTATTACTATATTTTTTTTTTCATTTCCCTTAAAGTTTCCACAAAAGGGTTTTTTCTTTCAGCAACCCTTGAGCTGGCCCACACTTTCTGATCTGTAAATAAAGTACAAAGTGGCCCGTTAACGTGACTGTCATAAGAGCCCAATTAAAATTGGAATTGTAACTCCTAACAACCCCTGAGCTGGCTCACATTGTCCTGTCTTGAAACTCGTACACTGACATAGAAACACTTTCTTGTAGTGATTTCTCAAGAAGAATCATGGTTTGACTCGGTTAGCAAACTTGAAGAATCCGGTTCGGATGACGACTTTGATAGCATGGATGGAGGTAATGAGCACAAACATTAGACATTAGATATTGGACATTGTTTGTTGTTTAAATGGTACGTAAATGTGTTGTTCTTATTGCATTAGATGAAGAAGTGATTGAATATGAGACATCTTCATGCATCATCGGAAACAATTGTAAGTACCAAAATTACCCTTGAAGTTATTCGAAAATAGATATAAAAGATGACATTTTTTATCAAGAAAGCCAAATCCAAAATCTTGAAGTCTTGCATAGGTACACAAACTGAGACAAGGACATCAACCGTTATCAGACTTTCATTAAAGAAAACTTCAATTGATGGAGAAGAATCCAATGAACCCCGTAAGTGCATTTTTCTCATTTTAAGGAAATAATTTTTTTTTTTAAAGCTAATATTATTTGGTTCTTGTAGAATCTTCTGGAAAGTTCTTTTTTCGCCCCCGCGCAGGACTCTTGATTCCATGTTATACAGATGAGAAGCCGACACCTGGATGTTGGTCTGCTATTGACCCTTCGTGTTTCACTCTTCGAAGTGAATCTTATTTTAAGTATGCCATTGATCTCTCTTTATAATTTTAAAGAAAGATTATTGAATATATATATATATATATATATATATATATATATATATATATATATATATATATATATATATATATATATATTAAACTACTAAAATTTAATTTGCAGAGATAAAAAGAAAATCCAAGCTCCAAGTTATTGCCCTTATATTCCGTTTGGTGTTGATCTCTTTGTGTGCCCGAAAAAAGTCAACCACATTGCTCAACACATTGAACTTCCTTCTTTAAAAGGAGATGGCAATTTGCCACCCCTTTTTATTGTTAATATTCAGGTTCATTTTTTTTTTTGCCATTTTCGGTTCTTTTTGGCCATGATTGTTAAGGAGATATGTTAGGGCAAGGGCATGGCATGGTTTTGCCTTGACATGAAAAAACAATCGAACTAGACTAAAATGACATGACATGACAAGACATTGCAGTGCATAGGTTGAGACTGATACATGATATGATAGTCTAGTTAGATTGATAATCGACATAACATGACAAGACATTGTGTGACAAGACATTGTGGGACATTGGGTATGACATGACATGATAAGACAATATAATTTTATGGACTGAGACCGATGTTGATGTTAGTAAGACAAAAGTTGCACTTTTTAGTTCCACCTTTTGGTAGGGACTTGCCCTCGATCTTCGGTCTAGGAAAAAGACATGAATGAGTTTCTCATACTAATAATCAAAAATAGCCCTAGAAAATTTAACCAGTCATGTCCCATGTAACAAACGCAACATTTACAATATTGATTGTGGTGGATAAAATTTCTTATAAATGTTTCATTTGGGTGTTATAGTTGCCTACCTATCCTATACCTATGTTCCTTGGTGATAGTGATGGCGAAGGTTTGAGCCTTGTTTTATATTTCAAACTCTCTGAAACATATGAAAAAGATATCTCTCCCCAATTTCAAGGGCTAATCAAGGTACACAATCATGTCTATTTGTGGACTTTTAAATATTATACTTCAACAAACAATAACTTTTCAAGATTAGACAAAACGGTAGGAAGTTTTCTAACCAATCACACCGGATTTGCAGAGTTTATGTGACAATGAAATGGAAAAAGTAAAAGGATTTAGGAAAGATTCCCTTACAACTTTTAGAGAAAGATTAAAGATCATAGTTGGTGTGGTAAACCCCGATGATCTTGTTTCAAATAACACCGAAAAGAAGCTTTTGCATGCTTACAATGAAAAACCCGTTCTTTCACGCCCTCAACATGAATTTTATCAGGTATTCATAACTTGTCTTTTTTTTTTTTTTTCAAATAAAGAAATGGTTACTGTTCGAGTGTGGAAGTTTCAGTTCTAATATAGATCAACCACCTAGCAAGCTCCAGTTGTTGTGTACCTGATTTACATATCATATAATGATTTATAGAAAAATAACCTTTTTGCAGAAAAAGTTTTTTTTTCCTCTTTCCACTATAATTTATAGTTTTATACCCAATATTGATCAAGTGAATAGCAAATTAAATATTTGATCTTTATAAAAAAATTGCAGGGTCCAAATTACTTTGAAGTTGATCTTGACATTCATCGGTTTAGTTTTATAGCAAGGAAGGGATTAGAAGCATTTCGTGATCGGTTGAAAAATGGTATATTGAATTTGGGCCTAACAATTCAGGTAAAAATTTGCATCATTTTTCATAATTGAATTTAACTAAATTCAAGCTATATTTTTTCAAGGAAAATTTGCAATATAAATAGGAATATATATTGCAAATTTCTAATTAGATCATTGGACTTTGAAAATCGTTATAGATTTTTGAAATGGTGACATGAATGTGTCTACTATTAGTTGCAATTTACCATTTTTTCGGTTATTGATTTGTAAAAATGATTAAGCATAGTAAAAATCTAAAAGAAATTAATTTATGTTTTTTATATATTTGAAAAAATAGGCTCAGAAACCAGAGGAATTACCTGAAAAAGTGCTATGCTGTTTGAGATTGAACAAGATTGACTTTGTGAATCATGGTCAAATACCTACTATAATGGCCACCAATGAAGATTGACATTCTATGACTTTTTGACTTTTGTTATTCATTCTTCACCATTGTAAATGAAAACTAAAGATTTATACTCTTAAATCATGAACAAAATACATAGGATGAAAGAAATCATGTTTTTTTGACCAGGTCAAATTCAATAAGTTAGTCGATGATTATGGTAGACCTTTTTTTTTTTTTTTTTTTTTTTGTATGTTGTTAATTTGATTACAAACTTGTGGCTCCACTTGGGTGATAAAAAATCTTATTTTTGAATGTAAAATACACTATATGATTTGATATGGTATGAGATGGGTTTTATAGCTGTGTAAAGTTAGTTCAAAAGTTAACTTACATTATTTTGTCATATAATGTAAACAAAGTACCATTTTTATCATTTGATTAGAAAGTTATCAATTTTTTGTTACGATTCTATGTAAATATGTAATAATATATGTGCAGCATGTTAAATTCTTAATATGATATAAAAGTAAGTTTGTTACATTACAAGCTAAAAAAAATATGATGTATATATTTATTAAATGGTGAAAACATTTGGAGCTTAACTCTGAATTTATTTATTATATGTGTCGGTTTACGTAGCTTATAAAAACAAAATACATGTAATTTTTTATATTTCTGACAATAATGTATTATTGTATTAATAGTTTGTAAACACAAATTTATGGACCAAATAGACTAGTATCTAGCCCATAAGCCCAACTTAATTAGTATGTTGCCCATAAGCCCAAAAGAAACCCAATTTTGAATTGGCCTTATTTATTCAAAAGAAAAGATAAAATTATAAAAAATAGTAACCGATATTTTAAAGGAAAAGAACATCCCCACATGTATTAAATTCACATGTGATTCATAAAGAGGTGCACAAATATACGTTCTGAACCGGTTTAGGTTTTAAAAGAAGCGTTTTCCTTAACGCCGGTAATAGAAAATTTTGTTTCAGTTCGGTTTATTCAGTTTAAAAATTGGTTCGGTTCAGGTTTTTTAAATATAGAATCTTTCCTAATAAATAAAGAACTTTTTGTTAGGGGTGACAATTTATGACACGGCACGACAAAAATACACGACACGAAACGAAATTGGGACGAAACTGAAATTTGAATTCGTGTTCGTGTCGTGTTCGTGTTAACAGTAAAAAACACGATGTCGTGTCGTGTCGTGTTCGTGTTCAAAATTCGACATGAAATTGACACGATTTGGCAGTTCTTTATCGTGTTTGCCGTGTTATATTTGATAAAGTATTCATTAAATAAACTAGTTTTTAGTATATGATATATTTTTCGTGTCGTGTCGTGTTTGTCGTTTTTTAATTCGTTCGTTTTCGTGTTAGTTAAAAAAAACACGACATCGTGTCGTGTCGTGTTCGTGTTACATAAAACATTGTCGTGTTGTGTCGTGTCAGACACACGAAACGACAGCACGATTTGCCACCCCTACTTTTTGTCATTTGTTACATTCTCATTGATTTGACCACATGTCATTTTGTGGTTATTTTCAATTAAATTTTTTCCACATGACATTTTGTGTTGTTTCATTTTTATTAAATGTATTAATTGCAATAAATATAATAATAAAGGTATTTCGGTTTCATTAATTGACTTTCCTTCTAATTTAAAATTTTCTAAATTAAAGCCCATTAGTTTTTATTGTTTATTTATCTAAGTTATTTGTTTAAATTTAAAAGAGAAAAAACACTTTAATTTTAATAATTTAACATTTTTCTATTTTTCTTATAAATTCAACTTCTCAAATATTTATAATTTTATAAATTTTTTAAATGAACCTACGTAATACATGGGTTATACATCTAGTTATTTTTATAAAAACCAATTTCAAACCGGCGGTTAGGTTATTTCAAAACCGGTTTAAAATGTGCACATCTTTTTTTTCCCGAATGTCATTCAATTATTGAAACTTCTTTTTCTCAAATATACTTTATAGGTTATTTCAAATATATTTTATTTACAAATAAACTAAACATAAAAAAATACTGTTTGGTTAAATTTTTATTTTGAGAAACAGAATTTTAGATTAAACATTTGAGCCTATGATTTCGGCTTCGTAGGCTATTTGAAATGGAGCCTCAAGTTACACATGAAAGCCTATGTGGCACACTAACCCACTAGTGAACACTGTCCTAGAGGTTGGTGGGTTGGATGTGGAGTGGCCATGGAGACGGACGAAGACGTTGTGTTTGATTAACTAAAGTTTTTTTAACTGTTTCTTTTGTAAGGTTAGAATAAAAAAAATCTTTTTTTTTCATTAGTTACATGAATAAAAGAAAATGTTTGTGGAGTGGTGACCATTTCCAATGGCTAATGGTTTGGTAGTAAAGAGGTAGTGAAAATAATGTGGCGTATATGTAACAACACTTTTCTAGTGGGTTGGTGGTGACCATTCTCATTTGCCTTAATTGAATAGATGACTTGGTTACTAAATAATAAACCAATTATAAATAAGTAAATTTCTATTAACCAAATATTTTATTTATTTATATATTTGCTAGGTTGAAACTTGTGTAATACATGAATCGACAAGTTAGGATAGTAAAAATAATACATATTAATAAAAGAGTAAATTGGTTTGGTGCTAATGTATATTCATTAAATTAAACCTTAAATTTTTTACTAGATATTCGAAATTGTTTTGCACTAAAAAAAACTTAACTATATATAATTAGAGTACTTAAGAAAATGTCATCGTAACATAGTGAAGGTGTAAAAAAGAAATATTTGGCATTTATATGATTGTTTTTATTAGAAGAGATAGATGACATAATAATATTAATTTAGAATTTAGAATTATTTTTTCAAAAATAATAATTTTCGTTTACACTTTATATAACTAATTAAGTTTATCAAGTGAAGTACTTTAAAAGTAAAAGCATTCACATTATATCTTTTCAATTTGTATTTTATATAACTAGTTAAGTTTATCAGGTGAAGTATTTTAAAAATGAAAGCATTCACATTATATCTCTTTAATTTGCATTTTATATAACTAGTTAAGTTTATCAACTGAAGTACTTTAAAAGTAAGAGCATTCACATAATAATTTTGGTTTGCACTTTATATAACTAGTGAAGTACGAAAAGCTTAAGCTTTTTATTGGATTATTTTTTAAAAACTCTTTATCTCTTCAAGAATATGAAAATTTTCAATTTCTTTTATACGAGTTGTTTGTATATATATTGTTTAGTTATAGCTAGTTAAATACACAAGAAATCAAATGTCTTGCTATCTTTTATTCATATTTATCTTTCCACTCACTTATGGATGTTAAAATCAGAGATAGAATTAAAGGTTTCCACATATCATTATTTTATATGAATAAGAAAATTAATATAAATAAAATGTAGGAAAATATTATTTAACTTCCCTAAAATCACAGTATATCTCACCGACCATCGAAAAAAAAAATCATAATTAAAACTTTTTAATTACCAAGTTTCTTAGAAAAAAAAAAGGTAGTTTAAATTATGGGCTCTATTTGCAACATGCTCAAAGGAAATGGGTGTAAATGTCATTTTAAAAAGATATAAAGTGCAAAATCAGTAAATAAAGCAATTAGGGTTACAGTATAAATGAGAAAGAGGGGTCGAAGAAGATCTGTAATCGTTGCGCCATAGGCCGAGCGCTTATCCCGTAAACGAAGGGGTGGCGTGGTATTTTCCACGGAGAAAAAGGTTTTCAATAATCGTGCGATTGGCGTAAATCAACACAAAAACACGCACAATTTTACTACTGCCTGTGCGTGTTTGGGAATCCATGGCTGCTTTCTTGCTTCGATTTGCAATCAAGGCGAGATGATTTCCCTACATTTTCTCTCTTATTTCATCATCATATTTCCTATGATTCTGAGTTTCTTTTACTGTTTAAGATGATTTCGTGTTATGTCTTGAGTATGCGATGATCAATCTTCATCTGGATCTTTTTACACTTTGTTATTTGATACTTGTTACGCACAGATTTTTCACCAAAACACTTAGTATCATTTTGAATTTTGAATTGGAGTAGGTTTTCTTTACTACACTTTTAATAATTTTGGGATTCAATTGATGATTCGGATCTGATTTTTTGGCATGAATTTGAGTTTTGGGGATTTAGTTTTCTGATTATACTACTAAAAAGAACAACATTTTTGTATCTTCTTTCTCTCGTTTTTATATGACGATGTTCTGAACAAATACAAAATGTTGAATATTTTCGTTGATAAGATCTTAAAGGTGGTTTTTGTTGGGGAGAAATCAGAAATGTAAATATAATTTGGCCTCGTATTAATATATTAAAAACTGATAGCAAGTTGTAAATATATTTTTGTTACCAGTAATACTTTTTTAGCTATTTTGAAACTATATTGTAAATAAATCTTTTTGTTAAATAGATTTGGAAATTCTTTTTTTTCTCTGTTAGGCTCAAGGCGTTTGGTGTATACTTTTGTCACATAGATGTCAAGAAATATTTCATGTTCTTTTAAGGGAGCGTATTTATCCATGTCATACATCAATTTTTTTTTGAAATCAACCATAATTAAAAACTAAATAATTCATTAAAAAAATAGGAATTCCGTAACTAGAAACTTCAAAATACATAACTAGAAAATAAAGACATTTAGAAAATCCACATTATATACAAGAAAATAAAAGCATGGAAGTTATATTTGTCTTCAAATTTTGTTTTCACCTTTGTAACCCACTTGAATATATATCCTTTGAAAGGTGATTCACGACTGCAAAAAACATTTGCATTTCCGCTAGTAGTTTGGTTTCACGGTCTGCATGTTGAGAATTCCGTTTGTTTTTCCAAATTCATATGTGAGCTTGCAAACTTCATCCTTGTATCTTTAATTTCTTTGAAACAGGTGGTAATCGAACATCGTCATATAATTCGGTTTTATCCGAATAGTGAACAGCCCTAGAGAAGCGATCGGGAAGCCTACGACTTGTGGAAATGCAATTGTTCTTTGTCAATGCGAGTTACAAAATTTATGAAAAATATATTTTGTAGGTTTTATATTTTCTAGTATGTCATGTTATTTTTTAAATGTAAAATGACATAAAAGTCCTTAAAGTCGGAATTTTGTGTTTTTTATGTTCTTCATTAAAATCGGAATTTTGCAATTTTTTTTTACGAACTTACATTTTTTGTAGGTTTACAACATTTATGCA